TGTTTTAGGCCGGCCTACCGCCCAATTCGAGCGCGTGGCGAGATGTGCGCATAGCAATATCGATCGCCGGGCGGTCACATCTTGCCACGCGCTCGAATTGGGCGGTAGGCCGGCCTAAGGCAACGATTTTTAATAATTAATTACTCGTTAACTATTACGAAAATTGCAAAATGGTACAGGACTTTTTCGTTCATCTCGATCCGTTCTACCTTCTCAAAAATTTTGTCGGATATGGAAAGACTCACCCTGTATACTATTAGATTTATATTGGAAGTGCATTGGCCAATATTTAACAATGTAATAAGAATATTGGCCTAATATTGCATCAATATTGTATCTAATATTGTATCAATATTGTAATCTAATTTTGTATCGATATTAGACCAATATTGGCTAAATAGACATATTGGCTAAATAAGAGAAGGCGTCCATCTCACAATATTGGGCCAATGTTGGCTTATATTAAAAATGCATTGGCCAATTTTGTCCAACGTAAAGCCAATATTGGCTATGGAATAAATGTAAATATTGCACGATAATAATTACATAATATTAGCTTTATATTGGAAGTGCATTGGTCTATATTTACCAATGTAATAAAAATATTGGCCTGATATTGTATCAATTAGACCAATATTGCTGTAATAGACATATTGGCTAAATAAGAGACGGTCTAATTTACAATATTGGGCCAATGTTGGGAATACTAGATTTACATTATTTCCCAATATATTGTGCTATTAGGGATATCTTCGTGACAATCAAATTGCATAACCCTAGTAGCACAGTGCATTGGCTAAACATTGGCCCAATGCCTAGGGGGAAACCGCTGACCAAAATCTTGTACACCAATGCCCACTAATGCCCAGTGGGCATTACTTTATCTTATTATCTTCTTTTATTTCATTTATCTTGTTTTATCTTATTTTATCTTATTGTATCTTATTTTATCTTTATAATGCAAGACGTAATGCCCAAAAAATGCCCTAGTAATGCCCAGTAATGCCGCAAATCTGTACACCACAATGCCCTCAGCGGTTTCCCCCTCGGCCAATGTTTAACCAATGTGCTACTGGGGAAAGCAAAAAAGCCGAGGTAAAGCGCGACGCAATTGTTTCTACTTTCGGCGCTTTTCTGTTTTATCATCGCCTAGACTAGTCGAAAAATGAAAATCGCGCGAGAGAGAGATCAGATTTGTGTCGAAGGGAAAGCGCTTTTGTCTCTCGTCGAAATAAACTCACCGTTCCATCTTCGCGGCGATCAAATTGCATAAAGCAAAAAAGCCGGAGTAAAGCGCGACGCAATTGTTCCTACTTCCGGCGCTTTTCTGTTTTATTATCGCGCCGACTGGTCGACGAACGAAAGTCGTGCGAGAGAGAAAGAGAGAGAGAGAGATCAGATCTGTGTCGGGGGAAAAGCGCTTTTGTCTCCAACGCGGAGGGCGGTCGTCGAAATAAACTCACGGTACTTCCGCTTCGCCTTCATCTTGAAGAAGGGAATCCTCTTCATGATGAATTTCTTCACCCCCATTGTCGCCGCTCGTCGATCTCTCGCCGCTGCCCCGTGAATCCGTTCTGTTTACCCGCGTCACTTTTGCGGAGGAAGCTCTGCGCTTCTCACGCTTCTCGTCGGAAGACTCGTCGGTGTCCCGCGCGTCGCTATGAAGTTGCCGCTATCGCACGTTCGCTCGCCTCGCTCTGCCGCGAATTTCAACGCTCGATCTTGAATAAGCGTAGATCGAGCCTTTTTGCGTCGAATCGCCGGTAAACTTGGCGCAATTCGCGCAAATTAATTCGAGTTAGCTGTCGCTCTTTGCTGTCCAGTGCTCGCATAATCCTTCAGATCCGTCGCACTCGATCGTCGAGATCCGTCAAGAACACGATTCGTTCTGCGCAGCGTACGTCAGTTGTTGCAATTCTCGCTAAATTTCTTTCTTTCGACCATCCCTCCTTTATTTCAATAGACCGCAATTTTCGAGTCGCCAATTTCACAACGCGCCGCCGACTATTTCACTTTCGGCAATTCCTCTTCTCCCCAGCCAATCGCGAGTCGGCGGACACACGTTATATATCGACGCGGCGAACAGCGGTCAACTTCACAGCGACGCCGATCTATCGTTCGCAAAAGGATGCGCACTCGCGTCGCACCGCAGCGTCAACGACACACTCCGCCGCGAAATCGCGCCGGTCTCTCTCGCGCGTTGCCGATCGCGAAATCGGTCTCGCAATCGTCCTCGCGATCTCGGCCGCGATTTCCCCCCCGGGATGACGAAGCCGCCGCCGCCGCCGAGGAGCCCGAGCGCTGCGCGTGCAACGACCGTGCCCGCTTACGAGGTTAGTATTATTTTCGTTTATTCCCCATCTTTATGTTTCGGCGAATTGGGTCGCCGCGGAGAACGCGACTTTAAAGCCGCCCGGAATTGGCGATATATAATTGGCTCGACGTGGCAACGAGAGGCGATCGCACATCTCGCCCCGCGTAGGTAGGCAGGAGATTCTTCAGTTGGTTCGTTCGTTCGTTCGCTCGCTCGCTCGCGTTCGGCGCCCCCGATATATAACACCCGGCGCGGCTCCTCGCCTTCGCCGCTCCGGCGACAGTTTGCGTTTGACTACTGCGATGCCGTCGAGCCTCGGCGAAGCGCGCCGGCGGCCGTTCGCGTTAAAGGTGAATGGAAGAGGGGACGCGGGAGCCTCTCTTTTCCTCCCCGGCCGCGGCCTCTTCTTTCGATGCGATGCCCCGCCAATTTGCTAATCGCGGGGAAAAAAGAAACGAGCGCCAGCGTCTCGCGGCATCCGGGTCTCCCCCGTTCGTTCGCGAACGGCGAGCTGCTCTTCTACGCCGCGATGCGTCTCGAGGAGCCAATCCTGAGCGAAGTAACAATCGACTTCCGCCGAACGCGTCACTTCTCGTCAACGCCGGGTCGGGTCTTGCGAATGAAAATCAAGGTTTGCGGAAGAACGATTCGATTTTTGCGACGTCGACGCCAATCGATCAAGGAAACACGTTGGAATTTTGTAGATATGTCGGCTGGCGGCTCGACGGGTCTATTTAAGGTGAAATTACTTGGAAATTTTGCGCTCTTGCAGCCCCACGGGAGGGAGAAACAATTATGATTTATGCGTGCTCGTCGCGCCCGAAAGAAAGCTTCGGCGGGGGAAATAAGCGGGGCAATAGTTAATGATGTGTAGAAAATTAATGATCTACCCGCAAGGGTACACGTTCGTATCCTGGGAACCTCCGCAATTTTCGCATACGCTCGTACGCGTCATTAATTAATATCGCTTGCCCCGGTGATTACGCAACAAAAGACGTTTCCCTGCTGCACAGTGCTGCAAAATTAATGGGACTTTACCGTTTTCCCCGCGATAGAGATGTACTTGAGTCGGAAAGACGCGCGCGGAGAATTTTTACGGCCGCGCACGTTCACAATCAACACCGTGATTGTGCGGTCGGCCTGAGATTCATTGAACGTTGATTGGCGGACGCGCGCGTACCACAATTTCTCGAATCGAGCGTACATACGCGCGTTAAGCACGCGGCGATTAAACGCGGCGATTGTATAATGCAACGTCGGGCGAAACAGACGGGCCTCGCCATCCGCGGGCAATTAATTAGGCTATTTGTCGCGATTACCGCGCGGATAGACGTGCACGCGCGCGGGACCGAGTCGTGACGAGCGATAAATATTCACGATCACTACGCGAGACACTCCGGCAAGACCCGCTTATATTATTTATACCCGCGCGGCGTTCTTCCCGATTACGCAGCCGTCGAATTTATGCCGTCGCTTTCGCGATCTTATTTTCGTTCGTTCTTGATGCACGTGCTTCGGAAATAGTTGAACCAGTTGTGTGTTCGCGCGCGCGCGTGTTTAGCCCGACAGGTGCAGCCGACCATATGTGACCACCTTGCCCGAGCAAGGTTGCACCGAAATGGCTAGGCACGGCGACGGTGAAGTCACGCCACGCGAGAGCGATCGGCCTAGACTCCGCCAACCATTTCGCGCGTGGCAATTCTGAAATTTAATCGCGCTAATGCTCCGTCGTGAGCGCAGCCCGGCTATTTTAAAATCGCCGAGGCAAGACTTCGACGTCCCGTTTCAGCTTATGACACCGGCAAACACCTCGTTATTACCGTCACACGCACCGCCTCGCTTTCTTAATCAGACACGACGGTGCCTGGAAACCGCTTCGGAAATTTACACGCCGTGGAAATCGTATTGCATTAATGCGAAATGGAAATACGTTCTCCTCTTACCGCGCTCTTAATTAGCGCTCTTTTTTTTTAGTGCTAAGCAAACTGCTTAAACAAACGTGCGAATAATCTGGTGAACGCTCACTCGTTGGGAATTGGTTGTCGTTATTGCAAGAGGTCTGTTAAAAAGCTATGGTATCTATTATTGGACATCCGCGCGATATGTATTTTCGTGTAGATCGCTGAATTCGCGATAACGCACCATTAAGCCCGTATCAGACTACGGATTGAGATTCGGATTAGAATGAAATTGGACCAATCACAGTAAAGTTTACTAATCTCAAGTTTAGTAACTTTTACTCTAATTGGGTTGAGATTGAGATTAGATTGAAATTTGACCAATTAGAGTAAAAGTCTCAGAAATTTGAGATTAGTAAACTTTACTGTGATTGGTCAAATTTCAA